TGGGAGTAAAAAATGTGAATACATGTAATATTTTCTATAGTTATATGATATATTTTGGACTATTGTATTCAACTGAGCTAATACCATTTAGGATCCTCCGAGTATAGTGATTTCGCCACGTTTAATCCTATATTTTTAAATTGAACACCCGTACTCCTTCGTAGGTCCAAGTTAATAGAGAGAAGTGGTCAACCATAGTAATTAGTAGTAATCATTATGTGCTACTGTTGTAACTCTTTTTTTCTTCTTATTGTGCCACTCAATATGATGCATACACTCAATTACATTTGTTGCCACAATGCTTAATCCATTACTATGTGTTTAATTTGATTAATGATATTTAATTTACTTTATTTAAAATTTAAAATTTATTTTTTTAAATTAATAAAATTTATATATTTAGAAACTATATAAAAAAAAAGTACTACTAATATAAAAAGTAAAATTTAAAAATTATAAGAATATAAAAAAATAATTTAATCAATAAATAGTAAAATAGAACAAAGTAAATATATATTCTTAATATAATATTTTCGGTATAATATATAATATTCTTTAAGACTTTATTTGGTGTAAATTTAACTATTCCAATTATGTAATGGTTTGGTCATATGATAATAATAAGATAATAAATGTAAAAAAAATTGATTGGCAAATTGATTACCTACCTTTTTTTTTTGAAAGCCAATCAAACGATTGTATTAATGAATGAATGCAGTAATAGCGTCAGGGGGAATACAATTCCAATACATAGAATGTTCCTGAGCGAATGCTAAAGAAGCCAAAGTATGAGCATGCAAATTAACTTGTCTAGAAACATAACATAACGTAAGCTGATTAAATAGGGACATAGTAGTCTTGCACTGATCAATCACGATCCCAACATAAGAAAAGGTAGATGTTGTTTGTTGGTGTAAAGCACTCCGTAGCACCATGCAGTCCGTGAGAAGGCAGACCGTTGTGATATTCCTCTCCAACAACCAAGATAGAGCCTCCTTACAAGCTAGTGCCTCCGCCATAAGTGGCGAGAAACAAAAAGGTAGCTTGCCATTTTTTTTGCTGCCATGAATAAACCCTCCGATGAGAGCAGCACAAGACCGTACGTGGCCTCCTCTGTTTCCTGCCGGAAATCGGCGTCTATAAAGCACCGTGGTGTACCGTGGTCTGCTGCCATATTCGGTGCCGCGGCCGGTTGGTGCAGTTGGCGCTGGTACGACAGCATGGCAGCGGACGCTCGTCTCCAAACGACGTCTGGGCGCGATAGGGAACCCTCCCATATGGCTGTATTTCGACTCCTCCATAAGTGGTATAGCATAGCGACCACGAGACCGCATTGGTCGTCCGTTAATACTGCCAAAGCACCCATTAGCCATATTGGAAAGGAATTTGTAACAATATTTGTAACAGTTAATTGTGTAACATTCCAAACAAGCCTAGAATATTCACATAACACTAGAGCATGCAACACATCTTCACGATCTAAACCACATTGGGCACACAGGATCCACTTCTACTCTCTTCACTATTAGATTATCAGTGGTGGGGATAATATCACATATAGCTCTCCATAAAAAGGTCTTGCATTTTGGTGGGACTTTTAACTTTCACATTTTTGCCCATTTATCAAAGGCACCTGGGCTATCAAAAGTCTCCCATAATACTCCTATAGGCGTTTTTAACCGTATAAATCCCATTTGGATCTCCCTTCCAATACCAAGAGTCTTCGTAGGTCGGGCTTACTGAAATCTTAGTGATCCGGTTGACATCCTCAGGGATAAAAAGATCTGATAAAATATGTGGATCCCAGGTATTTGTTTGTTGATCAATCAGACCAACCACTAGCGCATCCCTTAGTTCTCCTGGCATCTCCATTTGAACTAAAGGACTAGGATCATCTGGTAACCAGGGGTGACCCCATATTAGTGTCGTGTGACCATTTCCTATTCTTTGCCGTACCCCATCGCATACTATGACATGTGCCGCCATAATACTTCTCCAACAAAAACTCGGGAAATTTCCAATGGTAGCATCAACAAAACTAGTTGTAGGATAATAACGAGCCTTATAAATCTTTGCTGCAAGCGATCCTGGGTTAGTAAGAAAACGACATGCCTGCTTACCCAACATAGCCAGATTAAATGCAATCTTTAAACCCCAAACCACCAAATTTCTTAGGGACACATAACTTATCCCAAGCCTTCCAATGTATTTCCCTATCTGCACCATTTCCCCACCAGAATTTATTCATGGTTCTCTCAATAGATAAACAAATTGTCTGAGGCAGCAAAAATACACTCATTGAAAAGGTAGGCATTGATTGGGCTACACTTTTCAACAGTACCTCCTTGCCAGCCTGGGATAGTAACTTTTTATTCCACGACCCAATTCTTTGTCTTATTTTATCATCCACATAAGAAAATACATCCCTTTTATCCCTCCCCACAAACGATGGTAGACCAAGATACTTTCCAAAATTTGCAGCCTGCTCCACCCCAAGGCATCTCGCCACCTGGTCCCTATTATCATCCTGGGTATTCCGGCTAAAACAGATATTCGACTTAAATTGACCACTTGACCAGACAATTTCTCATATCTTAATAGGCATTGTTTAATAACACTAGCTTCCTGAATATTTGCTTTAAAAAACAATAGGCTGTCATCTGCAAAAAACATGTGTGACACAAGAGGTGCCCCCCTAGCCACTCTACACCCATGTATTGATCCTGCCATTTGTGCCTTTTGCAATAACATCGGCACGCCTTCTGCACAGATAATAAAAAGATACGGGGAGGGGGGGGGGGGGGGTGGCTGTCTAAGCCCACGGGTAGGTACCAAACGGCCCCCATCAACACCATTCACCATCACAGTATAATTAACAGTCGTTACACACAGTATAATAAGTTGAATCCATTTTTCACTAAAACCCATGCCAGTCAGCATTTTTTCCAAGAACGGCCATTCCATTTTGTCATAAGCTTTTGACATATCTAATTTAAGCACACTCCATCCCATTAAACCACACTGCTTCTTATGCAAAAAGTGCCCCACCTCAGCTGCTACTACCAAGATGTTATCCGTGATCTGTCTTCCTGGAATAAAAGCACTCTGGGATTCCGAGATGAGATCCCCCACAAGTGGTTTCATCCTATTTGCAATCATCTTGGCCATAATCCTATAAACAACATTACTTAATGCAATCAGTCTCATGTCCGCTACTGTCTCAGGCATTTCTTTCTTTGGAATCAAGATAATATTAGTATCATTTAAACCTCTCGGGAACACACAAGAATTCAAACAATTTATTATAAATTCAAACACATCTTCCCCCACCACACTCCAAAAATACTGATAGAAACCTGGATTCATTCCATCCAGGCCCGGTGCTTTATCAAGGAACATAGAGAAAACTGTTGATTTAACTTCTTCCTTCTCAAAAGGCTACTCTAACGCAGTATTGTGAACATGAGCTACCTGGGGTTCAAAACAATCAAACACGGGATCCGAACAACTGGAGTTACTAGAAGTAAAGATATCCTCAAAATACCTCAACATAATCGAGTGCATATTATTCCCTTCAACCCACTCCCCATGTTCATTTTTAATACGAGCAATTAAATTCTTTTTCCTACGGGCAGAAGCATACCTGTGATAGAATTTTGTGTTGGCGTCTGCACCACGGAGCCAGTGTTGTTTTGCTCGTTGTTTACAGAACACGTCCTCCTGGGCCTCTAATTGATCCAAACGAGTATTTATCTGCTAATATTCAGCCAATGCAGCCTGATCCCGCCGGTTCCTAATAAGCACCTGCTTCTGCCGTAATTGATTAATGCGATCGCCAAATTTATGAAAATGATCACCATCCCATCGCATCAATTTCTGACCACAATATTGCTGACAATTCAGCAATCCCTCCATTCTATCCTCATGCCAGCTGTTTCAACCACCTCCTTGCATCCTTCATCCAGAAGCCATGTCATCTAAAACCTGAATCCCCTCCGGCCCCTTCCCCCGTGCATGTTGATTGCATTAATGTTTTGGTAGAGAGCCGAGTGATCCAAATTTCGAGTCTGTATATTCTCAACCCAAGCATTCTCATTCATACTGCACCAGCCTGTCGTAGCCAACACCTTATCCAGTCTCTCCTCTATCCAATTTGGCGTTCCTTTACTTTTTTTCCATGTAAACTGGTGGCCCCTCATCGGCATCTGCATCAAACCACAACCCTCAACCGCTTCCCCAAAACCGTGAAGGATACTTTTAGGACGTGGGTCCCCCCCCCCCCCCCCCCCCCCCCTCCCTTTTCTCATGCTGAAAAAGGAGATCATTAAAATCCCCCACCACCACCCATGGCAGCAAGGACCTATTACATAAAGTAGCCAATAAGTCCTAGGAATCCTTCCGTCTATGTCATTCCAGAAAGTCATATAAACATGTCATACGCCATAACTTCCCAGAAATATTAACTTCCACATCTATGTGATTTTTTGAATAACTTAACAATCTTACCGTGTTATTCTTTTTCCAAAAGAGAGCTAAACCACCACTTCTACCATCATTATCAACGAAAAATAAACCATCATAACCAAGCCTGACGCGGATCCGCTCTGCATGTACCCGCCCCACCATGGTTTCCATTAAAAGTACAAATTCGGGCTTCTTACGCGACGCAAGATCCACAACTTCTCGAACTGTGCGTGGATTACCCAAGCCACGACAATTCCAGCTTAAAGCACTCATGATGATGGGCGGGACTGGGTACCAGCTCCCGCCATGGGCAAGTTTTTTGAACCATCAGTCATAGTCACATCTACATCACCCTGTACCGTACTGCTGCGGCCGTCCGGGAGCTGCCGGCGGCGCTTTGTCGTCGCCACCAGCGTCTCCTCCTCCATCTCGTTATCCCGTGAACCCCCTGCTCTAGTCGGCGCCACCACCCCGAAGCAACCCCAATCCGCCCAACATCCATTGTGCGCGGTTTTCCGCCGATCGGCACGAGCCAGCTATCCCCAAGTCCCAACCGCTCTAGGAGCGCTCCGGGACCCACCAGCTCGCATATCCGGACCAAACGGATACCATTCCAACGGTATTCCAGCCTCCCTTGCCCTGACACAAAACGTATGCAGATGCCCCATGAAGCCACAGAAAAAGCAAAATTTGTGCAACCGTTCATACCGAAAAGTTACCCAAGTCGTATTTTTATCCCTCTTCATCAACTTCATCCGTCTACGAAGCAGTTTATCCACCTGAACCGACACCCAAATGCGATGGAAAGTAAGCCATGGGGCCCCCTCAAAACGGTCAACATGCTTGACAAAAGTTCCCAGGAAGTTACCTGCCTGTTTAAGAATAGCCCGAGATGTATAACCCTGGGACATATCGTGCAGTTGTAGCCACATATCAATCGCATCGAGCGGCACATCCCCCGGGATTGCCCCTGCTACAACCTCACGGCATACCAGTGCATTGTTCTCAAACGCCCAAGGACCGCCATTCAGGACGTATTCCATGTCCGTTTTGTGGAAGAAAACAAATAAAAATAGGTCCCTTTGAATCTCCGTTACCTGAACGCCTCTGACCGGTTTCCATACGGACGCAAGAACCTGTCGCATGAACTCAAGCTTGATCATCTTCTGCGTGAGGAAACAACCAACCACCCTCCACGTCTCCACTGCATCCTCGCCTGCGTCCCCGTCAACGTCCCTGACCGGCGTGAATGCATTGGCCTCATCCGCATGCAGCACCCAGTCCGCCCAGCGCTCTGTTATGGCCTCAACCTCCGTCGCCGCTGCTGTGGAAGGGGAAGCCATGGCAACGCTGCTCTCCGCTCGTGAAGACACCGGTCGTCGCCAGGAATGAAGCACCAAACGGTGTGGAAACCCTAGGAAAACCCTAGTAGAGAAGCAAAAACCCTAGAGAACTTCTAGAGAGAGACTAATAATTACTCTTTGATATTCTCTCCGTGACATGCTAATTGATTGATTACCTACCTATATTAATGGCATATAAATTATTTAAGCAATCAATTCACCCACTGTTCAGTTTGCAAGGTGGACCCTGATCTTAAATTGTATATTTTTAGTATTAGAATTATGAACTTCTAGAATATAAATTATGTTTTTAAGTTTTGAGAAAGGAAAATGGCACTTTTCCCTCTCTGAATTATATATACTTATAGCACTTTTTCCCACTGAATTATTTAAGTGGCAGTTTTTCTCCCTGAAATGTTAAATGGACATATTTACCCTTAAAATAAATATTTCATTTATTTTTCTTCTCCAACAAATAATGATCACGATTTGGTTCAAACCGAACAGACACTATACCAACCAATCCAAAATATTCTGATTACACTTTAGAATCGAAACCCGATATTTAGAGTTTATTAATTTCGCGAACCGAAATGGCCTGTTCATGTTCCGAACTAAAAAAATACATTTATTGTTGAATTTAGACTATTTAAAAAAAAAATAAAGCTTTAAAATAAATTTTGAACCAACAGTTCAAACTGGATCCGGAACCGTAAACCGACAGTTCAAAATCAAAACCAAATCGCAGTCATATATACTTATATGTGAGAATCAGAGTAAATGTAAAAAATAACATACACTATTTGTAAATATTATAATTCTAATTTTAAACTAATGCTAGTAGTTGTTTCAATCCAAACCGCCGGTTCACAGTTCGGGATCCAGTTTTTTCGATTCATGATTTTAATAAACTAAAATCCAAATATTTTGGGGTTCTGGATCTGAATCATAACTGGAAACTTTCAATTCGATTGCTATAGTGTCCGATTCAGTTCAATCGAACCGTGGTCATCCCTACGTATAAGCAATAATTTGTTGGAGAAGAAAAATAAATAAAATATTTACTTTAAGGGTAGAGATGTCAATTTAATATATCAGAAGGAAAATCCGACACTTTTAGAATAGTTGAGGGGGCTAATATGCTTACATGAGTAATTCAGGGAGAAAATGTGCTATAAACATATAATTCAGAGGGAAAAAGTATCATTTTCCCTTTTGAGAATTTATAAATACAATACAAAGTCATTACAAATTGTAAATTTATGAATATTTACTATGTAAATTGTGTATCTTTGAGCCCGGATCCACCTTGCAAAGTAGACACAGGTCCACAGAATAATTTGCCCAATAAGGGCAATCGTTATATCCTACACCACGGCGCACATAGCACTGTGCGCCGCGCGCCTCCCAAAACGACGTCGTTTTGGGGTAGTGTTGGGAGGCGCGGTAGGAAGTTGCTGAGATTATGTGTATTTGTTCACAACTTTATGTGTATTTGTTCACAATGTTATGTGTATTAGTTCATACAGTTATGTGTATTTTTTATACAATTATGTACATTCTTTTTATACAATTATGTACATCCGAATCAGAAAATTTGTGTGTATTATGTTAAGAGTTGATGTGTATTATGTTAAAAGTTTATGTTTATTATGTATTATGTTAGATTATGTGTATTATCTTTTAAAAAGAGTATGTATATTTTGTTATATAATTATGTACATTCATGTATAACATTATGTGTATTCTAGTATAACATTATGTACATTCTTGAACAGCGGGTTTTTTTTTTTTAAGAAAAAACCACTACCATTCATTGGGGCGGAAAATTTCAAAAAAAAAAAATAATTAAAACGACGTCGTTTTGCATCTGGGCGCATAGTGCAACGCGCGCCGTGGTGTAGGATATAAATTGCCATATAAATTGCCCAATAAGGGTGGAGTGGGTTTTGATATTCAAAGCCCGCCAACGTGATGAACTAGGTAAGCCATGGGCCAACCCACCTAGTTTATAAATAAAAAAACATTGTATAAATAATTTTTAATTTTTCTAAACCTTGTTAAAGTTTTAAAATTCCCATTGAAGTCATGAACCTTGTTAAAGTTCCCATTGTATGGAAACCAATGTCCATTACTATTCATATTGAGTATTAAGTGTATTTTAAAATTTTAAAATTTGGATTAAGTTTGTTATGAAATATCTATTTATTTGGACATAATAGTTATTATTGGTCTTAATAAAGTATATTAATATTTATTTAAACTATTTAAATTTTTTAGTATGCAATTATTAATTTTTAAAATTATTTTTAAATTTAATTTAATTTTTAAGGTAAGAGTTTAGTAAACTGGTCTACGGGCTTATACAGGGCAGGACAAACTAACATTTTTCAATCCTGCCAAAGTGCCGGGCACTAAGGCTTGTCAAATTAAATGGCGAGCTTTGGTTGGCTTCATCTCGTTAGCTCACGTAAACACAATAACAATGAGTTGATAAGTGAATGAATGAACCAAACTATATATAAAGAGATGAAAAATATTATATCTTTGAAATTTATGTGCTTTTTATTAAGAGTAAATACCTAAAATGGTCCCTCAACTATAGCTAAATTCACAAATTGGTCCTCAACTTTCAATTTCAACCAAGTAAGTCTTTAACTTTGCAATTTTGACACGATTTGGTCCTCCATCTATTTGACCGTTTATTGACCGCGATCTTTGAGGATATATATGTAGTTTCACGGGCAAAGCCCAAGAGAACGCTCTTGGAGGTGACATCGTTGTTTCGGAGGGGGAAGTGATTCTCCGCTTGCTGCTTGGGGATCACGAGCTGGTTCAGCTTAGAGAACGCTCTTGGAGGTGATAGCGCCGTTTCGGAGGGGGGAAGTGCTTCTCTGCTTGCTGCTTGGGAATCCCGAGCCGGTTCAGCTTGCCTACATTGCTTGGAGTCACGGCTTTCTCGAAGAGCCATTCCAGGGACTTCGGCGATTTATCTATCAAAAGCTATAATCTCTCCAGCATGGGGTGCAGCGCCGACAGTGGATTCAAATGTAACAGTGCGATCTAGAAATGCAACCTGAACCTTAAAAAACCGACGATGGACCATGAAATTACATATATATCCTAAAAAAACGCAATCAACAAATGGTCAAATAGACAAATGACCAAATTGTGTTAAAATTGCAAAGTTAAGGACTTAATTGGTTGAAATTAAAAGTCGAGGACTAATTTGTAAATTTAGCTATAGTCGAGGGACCATTTTGGGTATTTACTCTTTTATTAATCCAAATGATTTGTACTTTTGTTTTAAAAGTTGTACATTAAGTTTTGTAAGACACAAATTCCTTTACCCCGTTAAAACTCTAATTAAGTTTTTTTTTTTTAATAAAAATCTTTCATTTACTCTTTTTTTTTTCTCAAAAAACTATACTTCCAAAGAATGCCCAATTAATTTTTTTTTTTAATTATTTTGTCATTTTAAATTTTAATAAAAATTTGTTCGACTCACCCTCCATGATATAATTTATTTTCTACAAATATACTTCTGAAAATTTTATCTCAATCCCAATAAGTAAAATATACTTCTTATTTTAAAATTAAGATTTCAAATAATTAGCATTATAATTGTCAAAGTCTCGTACAGAACTTTGGTTTTGTCTTAATGTTGCATTGTTGTGTATTGAATTTTAAGTTTCTTGAAATTTTTCTTTTGAAACTCCATATGAAACTTGGTTTTAACATATTCACAAACACGTCAAGTGCAATAAAATGGAAAAAGAAAAAAAGAAAAAAAGAAAAAAAGATATATATCGCTCTGTGTGTTAGTGCTATGAAATATTATTTCTTATGTGTATTGGGGCACTTGGCTGATTTGTTTTCTGTTTTTCTGGGTATCCCCTCTTATCAGATCCAAAAAAAAAAAAAAAAAAAAAAAAAAAAAAAAATTATTTCTTATATGTCAACTAAATTATAAAATAGGGAAAATGGCACTTTTTACCCCTGAGTTATATACTTATAGCACTTTTTCCCCCTCAATTATTTAGGTAAGCACATTAGCCCCCTCAATTATTCTAAAAGTGGTGTTTTTTCCCCCCCTGATATATTAAATTGACATTTATACCCTTAAAGTAAACATTTTATTTATTTTACTACAACAAATTATTGCGTATACGTAGGGATGACCACGGTTCGATTTGAATTGAATCGGATACTAAAGCAATCGAATTAATAGTTTACGGTTATAATTCAGATCTAGAACCCAATATTTAATGTCAATTTATTAAAATTATCTATCAAAAAAATTGAATCTTGAACCGTGAACCGGCGGTTCCGGATCTGATTCGCGATTTTGAACCGTCTTTATTTTAAAATTTTATTTTTTATTTTAAAATAGTCTAAATTCAATAATAAATGTATTTTATTTTTTCAGTTCGGAACATTAACCGTCCGTTCCGGTTCACGATTTTAATAAACTCTAAATATCGAATTTCGATTCTAAATTGTAATTGAAATATTTCTGTTTGGTTGCTATAGTGTTTGTTTAGTTTGAACCAAATTATGGTCATAATTTGTTGGAGAAAAAAAAAATAAATTAAATATTTAGTTTAAGGGTAAATATGTCCATTTAACATTTCAGGGGGAAAAACAACCACTTCAATAATTTAAGGGGAAAAAATGCTATAGGTATATAACTCAGGAGAAAAAAGTGTTATTTTCCCTATAAAATATTATTTGATGTATTCTTTTTTTTAACTAGATATAATATTGCAAAAAGAAAATGTTATAACGTTGATTATTGAAAAAGAAAAAAAAAAAGTTGTATTCGGTACCACTTACTATTTTTTTTTTTTTTTTTTTTTTTTTTTTTTGAATACGACCACCTTCTATTACCATGTTTAGCCAAACCATCAAATTATAACTTTTTATTTCTGATATAAGTGACATTTTTATATCAATATTGTAGAAAAATTCGTAATATTGTAGGCAAATTCTATTCATATTTCCCTTGTCTTTATTTTAATATATACCAAATATAAATAAATATGAGATATATATAACCAATAAAATGGAGTTGTTATACCATGGACCAGGGTCAACCTTGCAAGGTGGACCCTAGTCCTAAACGACGTATAAATTGTGTATTTTTAGTATTGGAATTCTAAACTTCTAGAATATAAATTGTATTTATAAGTCAAAACACATAACAACTGTAGAAAGAAATTTGTGAATACAATACAGGGTTATCAAATCCTAATATGTTAATATTGTGTGACTGCAGTATTTGAAAGGAACATGTGAATACAAAACAAGGTAATCAATTATATATATATATATATATATATATATATATATATATATATATATATATATATATATATATATATGTTAACATTGTGTGTTCGTAGTATACGAATTGTGAATTTTTAAAAGGTAAATTGTGAATATTTGTACCGGGGTCCACAGAATAATTTGTGATAAAATGAGACTCATACTCCATAATTTGTGATGACCCTGTATTGTATTCACAAATTTCCAAAACTTATAAACACAATTTATATTCTAGAAGTTCACTATTTCAATACTAAAAATACACAATTTAGGACCAGGGTCTACTTTGTAAGGTAGACCCTGGTCCATAGTATAACAACCGAATCTCATAGTAGGATAGCAAAAATAGGCAAACAAACATAATAATAAGTATCAAATTTCATAGTATCAAACAAAAGTCCCAACCAAATACAACCTTACCCTTATGAGTTATGACCTTGATGACAATACCACATTTGATCCTTTGTTACGCTTTTAATTTGATCCATTGGGCTTTAGTTTTTGAAACAATATGGTAATTTCACAAATTTAATCAGTTATTCCTACTTAAAAAAAAAAAAAAAAAAAAAAAAAAAAAAAACCTCAAAAGTCATATTAAATTGAAGAAGCTATTTTTTAATTAAAAAAATTGTCAAATTATTATGGACATTTTTCAACAAGAAGATGAAATTAATAATGCGAAATTGCCGAATTAGTTTTGAAATTAACATTAATTTAATAACAGTGTAATAGAAGATCAAATGTAAATATGTTACATGTGACGGTTTGGCTAGGTGGTCTAAGGCGCCAGATTTAGGCTCTGGTCCGAAAGGGCGTGGGTTCAAATCCCACGGCCGTCAACTACAATTCCGAATATCTATGTTGGAACATAAACTTGATATTGGGCTGTTATAATTTTTATTCAGTCCAATTTGTTGGGCTATTCCGCACCGTTCAAAACCAGCCCATTTTTTTCAAATAGCATGCGGACCATAGTCTACACAGCCAATCGTATGCCATGGAACCGTGTTCACCATCCATGTTGAACGGTCCCAACGATGTTAGTGCGCCGTTATTTTTTTTTTCTTAATTAATCGCGTGACTTTTCTTCTTCATTTTCACATCTCGCGGTTTCACTTTAATTTGAGGTGAGCAATGATTTCGGACATTCATAAATTATGAATCCATGCCTGCACATTCACTTTGGAACCATGCCTACACATTCCCGTCCGAAACCATGGCTGCTCCTCTGTAGCGCAAGCTTCTTCAACATTCATAAATTATGAATTTTCTGTTATGAGATTATGAATTTTCTGTTATGAGATTATGAATTTACAGTACATTCATAATCTCATAACAGAAAATTCATAATCTGACCAAACGTGCGCCGTTAACACCACATTAGCGATTTTTTTTTTTTTTTTTTTTATACATAAAAACGGCGCCGTTTGGACCCGTGTTCACCATGAATGGTGAACACGTTTTCAGGGCATAATTTGCCCTACACAGCGCTGTGTAGATTATAATCATCAAATAAAACTGTAATAGAATTAAAATAATATTTTAGTGTTGCTATAAAGAAATTAGTGTATGTGAAAAATGAAATTAAAAAATAGAGCTTACTCAATAACGTATATTGTCAAAGAAAACTGTAATATAAATAAAATGATACTTTAATGTTGTTATAATGAAATCACTGTGTTTGGAAAATGAAATTAAAATTCAGAGCACATACAATAGCATATATTGTCAAATGAACTTGAAGTATAATTCAAATAATACTTCAACATTACTATAATTAAACTAGTGTCGGTAGAAAATGAAACTAAAAAAAAATAGAGCGCTCATGCAATAAGTCAATAATGTATATTATCAAATGAAACTTTAGTAAAATTAAGATGATACTTTAACATTTTTATTTTAATGAAACTAGTATGTGTGAAAAATGAAACTAAAAAGCATAACAATATTGTCAAATGAAATGAAGTGTAATTAAAATGATACTTACTTCATAATCCACCTTATTACATGGACCATGGTCCAGAATAAAATTTGCTTGTTCCTTTTGGCAAATTATAGTATTATACTATCCACCTTGCATTGTTGACCATGATCTAAAATAACATTCAAATTATGTATTTGTAATTAACATATATAATGCATTTGTAAATAAATTAAAAGCACATAATATATTAATTACAGACACATATTATGTTAACTACGGATACATATTATGTTAACTACAAACACATAATATGCAGTTAACATATTATGTGCCGTCAATTTAGTTATAGTCGCATAATTTATTAACTGAAAGCACATAATATATTAATTGCACACACATAACTTTTGGAACATAGTCCACAATGAGAGATGGACCTTGACCCATGGTATAACAATTGCGTTCCATTCAATAGTTATACCGTGGATTAAGGTCCACTTTGTAAGGTAGATCTTGGTCCAAAACGATAATATTTCAACTGTCATGATTAACGGCGCATCGTTTCATTTTTCAAAATAGTGTCGCACGTGTTTTTGAACACTACTAGCTCTATTAGATTGTAGTATCTGTTCATATACTTTCTCAACCTACTGAAACACAAAAAGCTAATAACGCCTCCACTAAGGCTCGAACTTACAACCTTCCAAATGGAAGTCCAACCTGGATACCATTAGACCACATAGTTCTGGTTGTGTTTTTGAACATTAAACTTTGTGTTTATAAATATACTAATTTATGAATATTAAACTTTGAGTTTATGAACATATAGTATCTAGTTTTTGAACGTATATAAGGCATGTTATGAACATGTAACAAAGTGAATGCTGAAGTGGCTAGTTTAAACTTTGAGTTTATTAACATATAATGTCTAGTTTCTGAATATTAAATTGAGTTTATGAATATATATAAATAGTTAACGCCATTAAGATGAAACGGGGAGCAAAGAAGAAGGAATTTTGACAAAGACGACGTCGTTTTAGACCAAGGTTCACCTTGCAAGGTAGACCCTAACTTATGATATAATTTGCGCGTTCCCTTGCTCAGTTGCATTATATACAATATTTATGGAAAGAAAAATACTATTTTCCCCTAAAATTTCCCTCCATCTATTACGTAACTTATAATCATTGAGTGTCATGAATTAAGCTGACCTCACATACTTTTAATTAAACACTCCAAAGTAACCAATTAGAATATTAGATAGTGTCACATTACAAGAGAAATTTTAAGAGGGGTATGTAGTATTACTCCATCTTATGGAAATTGTTGCATCAATTAAGTGTGTGGATTTGATTAATTATTTGTTGTTGAGTTGTAGTTGAAATAATTATTCATTAGTATGTATCTTTCCTTCCATTGCCTCCTACATGGAGAAGTCTCATCACTATTGAATTCTTGTTCCCATCTGAGAATTATTATATTGGAACACTACAACTTGCAACATGTAATTATGTAAGTGCTAAAAAAAAGAAAGAGCTAAATAAATACATCATAACCACACAGATCTTGTGCTCAAATCCTATGCTGATCTAGTTATCTTATTAATAAAAGATTTAGCTGATCATATGCTATGCATGAACAATCAGGAATTCTGGGGAGGAAAATGTATAGTATATATAGATGCTATGCCAATTCCCAATCAAGTGTACATCAAGTTTAACTATTTTGGTCAAAATCTGGGCGATCCGATCCGATCCTAAAAGTATCATCTAGCTAACTGGTGGTCGTAAAATGCTAACTTACCTATCACTCTGCGATATCGCCTTTTCTGATGAAAGCTATTTCGTTTCTCTGAGCACAGCAAAGGCCATCTTCAATTAGATGCCGACGAATATATTGTATACTATTCACAATGCGTGGTGCCTCAGCTCGCTTCTGCTCCTTCCGTTCAGCATCTCTTGTAACGTTACATACCTGGATTAAAGCACAAAGACAGACATATATAAAAACATATATTTAAATCTGGGTATGTAATAAGAAACCAAATATGTATATCCTCTCGCGTTTATCAGAAAAACTCACCTGCTGCTTGCTGCCAGGCACGTTGGTTGAGTTTGTCGGGTTAACAGTTGGGTTATCGCTAGCATTGGGTTGTTGATCGCTTGTTGTTTGAACCTGGGGACACATGAAAAGAGAGATTCCTGCATAAACACTCGAATACAAGCAGAATTGCATTGTAGACAGCTAGGAATTGAAGCATGTGCTCCATTTCAACTAAAAGCTTAAGCTGATAGTTGGATTACACATTAATTGTTATATGCTCAACACGCCCCCTCACGTGTGCGGGCCGTTTACTTTTGGGCTCCAAACAACACGTGGACCATAGTCCAGCTCTGATACCAAATTGAAGCATGTGCTCCATCTCAAGTAAAAGGCTGAGCTGGTAGTTGGATTGCACATTAATGGTTATATTCTCAACAGATGTAAATAAACCCAGGACAAGGCACCGACCTGACTGGTCTGATTCTTTAACCGACTAGGTATAGGATCAGAATTCTGTGTCATCTGCAAGTTCTTGATCTTTACTGGATCCTCGCTTTCTCCATCCATTCTCATCTTTGAGGCATTCAAACCCGGGGCTGAACTTGCAGAAGGCTGCTGAGACAAAGGGACGAATGGTGTTCTTGGGACCGACATAGGAACTCCTTGACAAGGATGTCCGAAAGCCTGAATATTAGACGTTGCAGTAGCCATTCCTGGGAAGTTAATGGGTCCAGAAATTGACGGGGAATGGAAATGTGGTCTTGGCATAGCGGGCATTGGAAAGATGGGACATCCCGGGGATCTGGCACCATTAAGCTCGGGCAAGCCCATCCCAAAACCCATCCCCATCCCTATCCCTAACCCCATCTGAGGAAAATGTGGCATTTGAGCATGCATGTGATGATGCATTCCTGCGGGGAACATCATTTGTGGCATACACAATCCCGCTCCCATTGACATAATCTGCATCAAGTTGGGATAATGCACTGTAATTCGACTGTAGTGAAAACAAGAATCCTTATTATACGTTTATCAAAATGAAGTCTGAAATCCCAGTCTAAATGCAATGTTGGAAGATCTTGAAGCTTAAGAATTGTCTATTTCATGTAATTATATCGAAACAGGAAAGATAATATGATTCCATAGGGGCATCAAAAAGAAAAATTCAACCTTGGACATCAGAGAAGCTTCACCTTACCTGCACTTGAAGTTGAAGTGTCTTCAAATATTCGATAGCTTCATCAAGCATTGAAGCTTTATCCGCCTAGAAAGAAGATGCAACTTGTCAAAAATTCAGTCCTTTCTAATTTTATAGGTGCACCCAAGAGTCAAGAAACGAGTTTTTTGAAGGTAACTTTAAAAAGGGAGCTTAAAAAGCGTTCTAACTTTGGCAGAAAAACTCAAACTCAGAGAGATGCGATTTCTTTACCTTATTACAGTTGGGTATAAGTTCCTGCAATGCCCGCATCTTTTCATTGATCCTGTCTCTTCGTCGCTGTTAGCAATATTTTTTATTAGAAATATGAGCGATCGAGCATGAGACATAAACGTTGTATCATTTCTGGATGATTTTTTGCTCACCCTTTCTGATAGATTGTGCACTTCTGCAGCTCGGCTTCTCTTTTGCCCTGTTCCTCCTCTAGCAGGAGCTGCTTTTTTCGCACCAGCTGATTCTTCGTCTGCATCCTGAAAAAAGATTGTTAGTTGTAAACCGAAACAATTGGTAATCAAATTGCTATAAAAAGGCATCGAGGATCAAAACATACTTCACTTGGGCATCCAGACTCCTCGTTTTCTCGAGCTCGTCTCTTTAAACTGTGGGACTGATCATTTGAAGCTCTCTCCGCACTACTGCCCGAGCATACAGAAGAACAAGCCCCGGGCTCGACAGCTTTGTTACCATGGACCTTGTCAGCATCATTAGTATCTTCTCTTGAAGCATCGGTCTGTTCAAATTTAGTGCGTAAATTAGGTTGACTTTTAAGGTCACTTTCCTTTCTCGAGGTGCTACATGCTTCAATAAGCGCGGTTTTAGCAGGATTCTGGGCATTTTCTTTGATCTCTTTCTCCCTTTTTCCCTTTGCTTCTAAAGTGTTTTGAAGATTAGCTCTGGCAAGCACAACGGGTCTGGAGAAATTAGAAAAGTTTAACAAAGTAGGGGGGCAAGTTCGAGTAGTTTCGGTGTCTTGATTTTTAGCTTGGGGTGGAACTGAATCTTTCAATATAGAATCGAGATTGATACTACCATTACTGCTCCCGATATCTGAAACTCCCGATACGAGGGGGTTAGCTTGCTGAGAAGACCACGAGGCTAACAGTCCAAACCTCGGAGAACAATCGAGTTTCGTTGCATTTCTCTGTCCCGAGTTCACAACACTCTTGGAAGCCCCAATCAACGGGAAACCATCATGGGGAGACGGTTCATTTGCAGTCGTTCCAGATATTTCTGGCAAGAGTTGAGAGCCATACTCTTGTGACTGACCATTAGAAGGCGAATAGTTTAGCCAGGGAGCAATCTCGTCGTCCTGGCTCAAATCCATTTCGCCAGAGGGCACCGAGGGAGGCATTTCATCCAAAACAGAACCCGCTAAATCTAGCTTCCCAATCCTAGAGCTAGAGGCATTCCCTACACACTTCTCCCGCATCCTAGAAAGATTGTCACTCTTCTTAGCTTTACTCGACTGGCCTTGCATAGTAATCTGACCATTTTCCCACACAAGTTCAGAGAAATCACTCCCTGGTCTGCATTTAAACCCAACCAAAACTCTCAAAAACAATCCAACCAAACATATATCAAGACTACAATCAATCAAACCCACATTAATTATCAAAAACAATCAGTTATTACTCACAAAGGAGATAGATCATCAGCAGAAGACGACGTGGGTTTCCGCTCCCCAGATTCATTCTTGAGCATTTTCAAGAACTCAGAGAGTGGCATGATGGAGAGACTGCAAAGTTTTCCACTCACAACTTTCTACAAGTTTGATAAATCAGTCATTAGCCCTCTTCACAAAGTTGTCCACTTCAACAAACCCTGCTCAAATGTCAGCCAAAATACAATTATCTCCATAAACTCATGTCCTAATCACTAATATTATATACAGTAAAATCCATGATAGTGTAATTAACAGATATTTAAGTAATCATCATCACAAGTCATAACCCAATTTTTTATTGGTGTTAGAACACACTTTAGATTTAATAACAAAAAGCAACCAATTTGAACTTAGTTTGAATTAAATATTTCAGTATTTCATATTCAACTTCAATCATTAGAGGATAAAAGTCTATAGTACCATTATAAATTACTGTAATAATCACCAACCCACAAATCTTTTTTCCATAAACAAAAACCACAAAAAAAATTAGGGGAAAAATGAACACAGATAACCAAACCCACCTCTTCAAAATCACAAAAAGGTGCAAGCTTTGGGGCTGAAACCCTGAATCTTTTGAAGATTTTCAGAGCTTTGTAGCAATGATAGATTTCTCGAAAGCACAAAACAAAATTATGGAAGGAAAAGAACACAGAAGAGACGCAGACCTACCGCTTCAAAAAAGCAAGTCAAACTCAAAGGCAGTGCTAATCCTCAAAATCTTCAGAAGATTTTCACAGCTTTGCAGCAATGATAGAGATTTCTTGAAATTCAGCGACACCTGCTGGTGTTTCACATGCTTTTTATAGCTTTCCCAAAAGAGGGGTGCAAATCTTTCTGTAGCTCCCACTTGCTGTTTTGAATTCCAAGAAGAGAAAAACTGTACTCGCCTTGAAAATATAGAAAGAGAAAGTGACAAAGTATATATATTTTATTCAAGTGTGGGGGGTAGAGGTTCTTAGAAGGCGGCGAAAGGCTTGTGAGTTTTGCAGTTCACCGAGGATGGATTGAAATTGGAAGCTACCAAACACTACCTATCAGCTTAAGCTATAAGCTCATATAATTTATATACAAAATGGTTACATGTAACATACTTGCATGAATTAGACAATTCTACAATATCAAAGAGCATGTTTGGTTGAGTAGAAAAAGTTTTTTAAGCAAAAACTTGCATTAAATTTGAGAAAAATGAAATTTTTATCGTTTGGTATATGAAAAATACTTTTTCACAAGAAAATGTTTTTCTTAGTTTTGAGGACAAAGTTTTCTAGTAGGGAGGGGTCGTATTTTGTTTTCCATGGAAGCTGAGAAGAAAGTATTACACGATTGGAAAATTTTGTTCTTATTAGTTTTTCATGCGCATTGCGCGAATGTGATAATGTCTAATGATTATTTTTAAATAAGTACATCAAAGTATATCAATGCAAGATTATATAAGAGATGTTAATGTATAGGTAATAGAATGTTGAATTTGTTTATTTATATCATTAATTCAAAATGCAAGATAATATATGAGATATTGATTATAATTGTCACTAAAATAAATGTTTGCAACTTTGTAATAACGCTAATCTAAATACTTAGTCTAAAAATGATAGTATAAATAAATGCTATTTTTGGTTTAAATTTCTCTAAGTCTTCTTAATTATCTTTTGGGTAGCATTGTCATAGTCTTCATTTTTAGTATTTGTCCTCTTCTTTTTTATTGGTAGTGTGTCACGTGCAATTGGGTTACTGGTGTTAGTATAGAGGGCAACGTCATGCAATGAGATTATGGTGTAGAAAGTTTTAGATTTGTCTTGCTGTGTATATGACTGAGATTTTAGTTGTACTATGAACTTTTTATCTTGCAAGCGTCTGTTGATATTTGGCAATGGTAGTTTTTCCCCTACATGTTTCATGTGTTGTGAGATCTGTGTCGTAGATTATCAGGTGAAAGTATGAAACAAAATATTACGGAGTAATATTTATTATATTTATTATATTTATATAAAATACTTAGTAAATATAAAACATATTGTGTATTATAACTTTGATATTTAATTACAAGATAGTGCAAAAAGAATACAATGGACAATGTAGTGAATATAATTAATTAATGAATTTGAAGGTAAAGAATCTTTGAATTGTAGAAAATAAAGATAATATAACTAATGAAATTATCTCTCTTTTTTTTTTTTATATAATGAATAAAAAAAAAATTTAATAAAGGCGGCATTATAGACATCTAATGCTAAATTAATTAAATGCATATGTATTTTTTTTGTAGCTACTAATTTATTTAATTTAATAAGAGTAATAAAGTGTGGTACATATTTTTCATCCACAACAATGAAGTCATTGATTTTTTTTTTTATTTCCATTAGTTGTTGAGACAAATTGTTTTGGGAGTTTGTTAATGACAATTACTACAATTGCTGTCAATAGAGGATGATAATAAATAATTCAAAATATATGGTTACAATAGATATTGTTATTATAATTGTTATTTGGAATAAGGGTCAAATAGGCCATCGAACTGCACATGATAATACAATTAGGCCACTGAACCCAAAAACCAAGAATTGAGTCTCTAAACTAACCAATTCCTAACAATTCTTCCAATTTGAAGGTTTCTAACAGGTCAACGGGTCATCCTCCAAATTAATTATTTTTTAAAAAATAAAATTTTAAATTAATTATTAAAATTAAAAAAAAAAAAAGATTCCGACCGGAGACGAAGAAACTCTTATGAATTAGTTAATTAATTTTATTAGATTTTAAAATTGTAATGGAAAACACGGCCAGTACTTATGAATTTTCTTTCTTTTTTTTTGTTTTTTTTTTTTTTTTTTTTTTTTTAAATTGTATTACTTTCACACATTGACTATGGATTGATCGGGGATGGGGATTCCCCGTCCCTGTCACAGGAAATTTTTTCAATTCCTCGTCAAGAATGGGGACGGTGTTGGGGTCGCGGGGATATACTCCCCGCCCCGTTGCGGGAAATTTTTTCAATTCCTTGTCAGGGATGGGGACGGGGTTGGGGTCGTGGGGATATACTCCCCGCCCCGTTGCCATCCCTAAATTCTTCATGGTAATTTCTTTTCTATTGATTTCAATTTCATTTTTCCTCAAATATTTTCTGCGAACCAAATGAGGCCTAAAAGATATTGAGATGACTTTTTTTCAATAAAAATATAATATATCTTTCTGGCCCGCATGGGCAGCTCAACTAGTCATAAGGGGTAAAGTTTGAGAAGAATTGACCAGGGATCGAGTGTCACCAACAACAGTATGGGAATAACCTCTCAAAGTGAAGGGGCTCCTAGGTCTAGCGACCTTTTGGGAAGAATAGTATATCTTTCTGACGTTGAAGAATTTCTTTCGATTATAACAGTTGTTTCTATAATAAAAGAAAATTTAAAATTGAAGGCACTTTATTCTTATGATTTTGAAAAGTAGAAAAAAATATGACAAAAAATGATTCATGTTTCTTTTTTGATAAAAAGATATTGTGGGGGTGTTTGGTTGGAATATCGAAAGAAAATTTTAATCAAAATAAATATTATTTAATAATTGGGATGTGTTTTATTAAATTGACTTTTTTGTTTGATAGTGAATAAAAATTTTAACAAATAAAGTAATTGTATTTAAATCCAATAATAAGGTTTAAAATCTATATAGACCGAAGTCCTGTTGTATTAAAATTTAAAAGAGACACACAATTTCTTATTATTTGACTTGATTAGTTAATTTATAAACAATTGTTACAGATGCTGATTTAATAAATTGAGTTCTGTTTTCTAAAAAAAAAAAAAAACAATTGTTACACATTCAACATAAGTATCATCTTTTTTTTTTTTTAATACTATTTACTTTATTACAATGCAATATCTGTTTATACATACTTTCTTAACCGACTATCGTACGAAGAGTCAATGTCCTCACACTAAAGTTCAAACTTGAGACCTCTCATTTGAAGGATTATAGTTATGTGGCTCGACCACAAACCTTTTCGCTATATCATCTTTGATCGTAACATATTTCATAATAGAATTTGATGTCAATAAAACTTTTCTTTATAAAGAATTAACTTTTGGTTCTGAAATTGTTGTGTAAGTATTAAACAACTTTTAAGAAGCTATTGCAATATTATTTTAGATGTTAGAAGGAAGATTCTAACCGTTAAATGTGATGTTACCATATTCTTGCACCGACATTTTTTACTTATCAGCCACGGGCCACGGCCGGTGACTACGCATGGCAATTTATATCGTGAACCAGAGTCACATAGCATTGTAGATTCTGAATAAACGACTTCATTTTGATCTTTAAGTTTTGACCAACTTTTAATTTTCTGTTCTTCATATTTATACACAGTTAATAATATATTCTAGGTATAGAATTCATACATTTATGGGGCGTTTGGTTCATGAAATGTTAGATTACTTGAATGTTAGATTGCTGGGAATTTGATTATTTAAACGTGGTCATTCAAACATTACCAACCTCTTGTGAATGATTGAGAAAAAGAATAATAATAATAATAATAATAATATTATTATTATTATTATTAGGAAAAATTGTATTTTTTCGTAAACTATATAGTAATTGTAGAATTCGTTCTTAAGTGTTGATCGTGCTCACTTTTTGCCCTTAAGTTATCATTGGCGTTGCACTCTTCGTCCTTTTATAACTTTTCGTGTTCACCTTTCTTGAGTTATACTAAAGCTGCAAATTTCGTACCTAATATTTTATTAATAAAAGGATGAAAAATGTAACGTCATGATAACTACCTTAGGGATGAAAAATGAGCATAACTAATCCTTAGAGACGAAAAATGCAATTTTCACTTATTATTATTATTTTGTAATATAAGTATTATATTTTCATATTGATTCGAACGATCTTCTTACATATGTGTGACCCTAAGTTTTATGTGGAAAGAAATAGATGGGTTTGTTTCCACGTGGAACGCAACGGGAGCAATTGAGGAAGATATTTGAGAAAGAGGGGGAGGCAAACGCATCCTTAAAAGTGAGATGCAGTGCATATTCGCAGGCAGGCGGAAGGGAAGTGATAAGAGAAAGGGTACGTGGCGGTGGTTTGGGTGATTCAAAACTGGCCCCTTAGCCCCCCAAAGTGGGGCGGGTCAGGTGTGGACTTCACGTGCGCACCATGTAATCCACGTGACTTTTTATTCCTTTGGTCTTCTATTCTATACTGCCTTTCTCACAATCCAATTAGCAGTAGGGAAATGTTTATACACCTGCTATTTTCCCTGTCTACCTTATTTTGTATGTTTGATATAATGCCAATAACAAATTTCTTTTTCTTTTTATATATATTTTTTAGAATTAGTAAAACCGTTTCACCTATAACATTTTTTAGTGAACCAAACATGATGTAATATTATACTGTCTGATCTCCTGAAATAGCTCAGTGATCGAAAAGTTACGTAAATATAGTGGCTCAACAAATACCCGAGTTCAAATCTTCAGTGAGGAATGATGATGATCTCAGCCTTGGGACAAAAAGCAAGCGCACAGACCCTCCCCTACGTGAGGGGCCCTCAGGTTTAGCGTTTTTTTAGGTATATCCAGGATTTCCACCGTCGGACAGCCTTAGGACGAAAAGCAAGCGCTCAGATCCTCCCCTACGTGAGGGGCCCTCAGGTTTAGCGTTTTTTTTAGGTATATCCAGGATTTCCACCGTCGGACAGCCTTGGGACAAAAAGCAAGCGCTCATACCCTCCCCTACGTGAGGGGCCCTCAGGTTTAGCGTTTTTTTT